AGAGAGAGAGAGAGAGAGAGAGAGAGAGAGAGAGAGAGAGAGCTGTCAGTAGGCCAGGCAGCCACTACAGCCTGAAACTAGGCCACTGAGGTGACTGAGGTCCGCGGAGTGCGGACCGCGGTGACGCCGGGTGAAGCCAAGATAAGTGCGAGAGAGAAAGGTATACTGGAACCTGGAACTAAAATTCGTAAAATTGCGCATGCTCAGTTCCGTCATTCCGTTCGTCAATCCATTTCACTATTCCGCATTCCGATTACTCAACCAATAGTTCCACTATATCTTTCTCTCTCGCACCTATCTTGGCTTCAGCCCAATGCATTGACCTGGCGGTCAGGCGGTACAGGGTATAGGCAATGAGCGTTCCATGTTCCATGTTATATATATTCTAAGCGCACATCTCATCATGCACTTCATGCGTGTGTGGATAGCATAAGGACATACAAACTTGTCCAATCTCTAGAGTATCTATAAATATCCGAACAGCTTATAAAGGTGCATGGACATCCTGACCAGAAATGGACAGGAAACGGACGACCATAGGATATCTTGTGCTGTCTGGGCAATAATAGGCATTTTTACGCAGGCATTTTTTTTTATTTTTCTACTCTAACAATAGAGTAGCGGAACTGTACGGAAACTGGAAGTAGCATCTGTAACTGAAAAAAAAAGCTAGGTATGAAACATCTCATTATATAAGATTGAGAAGAGACTATTTTTTTGTACATAATTTTTTCATTGTTGTATACAACGTATACATTCACAAATAAGTAAATAACATTTATATAATCTTAACAGCTTATAATCAATTAACAGCTTATAATCAGTTAATTTTATTATAATTATACACATGTAATTTTTTATTATTGTTGATTCGTTAATTCTATTATGCACACTTAATTTTAAATTTAACATTGAAAATGACCCGATCGGTGTCGAAACGTATGTGCGAATTCTTACTTGCGAATTTTACTCTGTTTGTTGAATGTATTGCGATTTTGAGTTAATTACATTTATATATCTTTTTTAAAAAAATATTGGCTCTTTTCTCTTATTTTTAATCCATTTGTTTTATAATCAATGATTATGATTAATTGTAATAATCAATTTTATTATTTTATAGAATTCTGCTACTCTATTGTTGCAGTAGAAAAATAAAAGAAATGCTTGCGCAGAAATGCCTGGCTATTATTGCTGGAAATTACAATAATATATTCTAGAAGGTTGTGTTGGTGGGAAAAAATCGCTGCAAGTCAGCTACCCATTTTTTGTCATAGAGATGAATGGTGAGTTACATGCAAAAGCAACTTCTTCTAGTTATATACATAGCCTGGCAGTAGGAGACATACCAATCATTCTATCTTTGTTTCTTACTGAATATCGAATAAAGATGGAATAACTTCCGTATCAATGTGTACCTCTTATTAGAAAATCTGATTTACAAATCGAGGAAAGTGTAATGTGTAAAGCCTAATCGAGTCTTGAAAACAAGATGTTAATGTTTACTATATTGTGTGAAATTTATATACTGCGTATGTAGTCCCCCCGCGACGCTGATGGATTTTCAGCATTGACGCATACATATTCACTACCGCAGTAATATCACTTTAGTTAAATTGAGAATCAATTTAACCACTTTTTGATGCCTATAGCATCCTATTAGATCTTAATAATATGTTGGAAGACATATATTAAAATTTAATAATAAATCAATAATTCAAACTCAGAGAAGCTGAGATTGTGAAGAATATCACGAGTTGGCGTTTCGTCCCGGCTTCCACTACTGGACTCATCAGTAAGGTAATGTAGTGGGACTGATTTACAAAACTAGGACAAGTAAGGTTAATGAAAACGATCGAGAAAAGTGTTCTTAAATGAAAGATGTGTATTTAATATTAATTACTTTTTGTCGAATAGATTCTTTTCAAAATATAACTCTTATAACAAAATGTTTCATACCTTGATTTTTCTTAGTTCCAGATACTCTTTCTATACCTCTAAAATGAGAGAAAGTATTGGTGGGACGAAAAGTCATTGCAAGTTGGCCCCATACTCCACTTGTGTTATACTTATAGAGATAAGTAATGAGTTACATGTAAAAACAATCTTTCCTAATTATACATATGACTTTGCAACAAGAGATATATATTGACATATACGAGTCATTCAATCTTTGTTTTTTTCTGAATATTCAGCAAAGATCTAATTACTTCTACTACTGTGTGTATGTGTATCTCTTGTTGGAAATTAAAAAGCTTAATTTACAAAAGTAGAACAAGTAAGCTTAATGAAAACAAACGAGAAAACTTTTCTTATTAAATTAGCATGTGTATGTGTAACATCTATTACTTTACGCAAAATGTTTCAACCTGATTATAGGCCTTCATTAGCCGTTAGTATCAATCACACATAGATTAAAAATGAAATCCTAGTTAAAGCATGTCAATAAATGCGCAATGTGATACTAAATTATCGTTAAGAATTAATATTATTAATTAAACTAAACTTAGCTTTTTAAATTTTATTTCATATGACTCTTACAACGTCCCTTTACTTTTCGTTAATTTTATCTTTTTGTCCTACCTATTTGTTATAATACAAGCTTAATTTACTTACTCAGATATTTCTCTCTTTTGCTTACAGATGCAGTATTTTAATTCACATATCACCATGTGCATATCACGTGAATCGCACATTAATAAAGGATCGTACACAGGACGCATTAACGTTGGGTATGTATCACTGTATCGTAATTAGTTGAAGAAGAATCAGCACCATAAACCTGATATTTCATGTGTCTGTAAACAAACTTTTCAAGCATGTTGATTGGTTATAAGACAGAAAGATCCGAGAATCGCTCTGTTTTACAGCTAATAAAAAGACTTGAAAAGCCTTGTCGTATGATACATGAAATATCGGTCTAATGGATACTACACACAGGATTACGTTTTGATTCTCCACAAGAGTGCACCTATTATAATATTTTAGTATATAATATGTGCGGTCGGGGTCTAAAATGTTGCAATGTTTTTTTATAAATGGTTCTCGGAACGCAGCAAAATTGTCAGAATGCGAGCCACTGCTTGCGTAACGATTAGGGTATCTGTCAACGTGATGATAGAACCCAGTGAAGAAGTGCATTCTATGCGAAAGTTTAAGATTCCAAATGCATACCATAAAATTAGGATAAATATAAAAGAATATATTAAATCTATAATAAGAATAAGTTAGACAATGTATTTTATACTCATAAAATAAAATTTCTTTTCCTTCTTTTTACAATCGTGCAAATGGTAAAAGAATATTTTAATGCTGGGATCTTTAATGGGATCATGGCAAAGTTCTTTCTCAGAGGAACGACAAGCTGTTATTTATAATAATGTTATGAGTATACTACAGATTAATTCGATAAAGCATTTATTTATGTTAATAGAAAATATCATCGAATACAGGAACCAGACGATATTACCATAGAGAAATAGAACGCATGGGTCCCTGGACGTATGCAGTGAGTACAATGATAAGAGTGAGTATCATAAGGTATTATTTAACTCTATAAAATCTCTATCTTTATTCTTTATAAAAGATGCTAAATATAATTTTATTTTTAACTCTGCAGAAATTCACGTCTGTGAAGCTAGCATATCAGCGAGACGCTGCTTGCATAGCGGTTAGGGTAGCTGTCAACATGATGACAGAACAAAACATAATGAAGAAGTGCATTCTGCGCGTCACGAAAATTTAAGATTCCAGATGGATATCATAAAATTGGGATCAGATAAGAGAATAAGTTAGGTCCGTAATAAGAATAATAACAAATGATACATTTTGTACTCATAAAATAAAATTTCTTTTCCTTTTTTTTACAGTTGTGCAAAAGGTAACTTTAATGCTTGGGATCATGGCAAAGTTCTTTCTCAGAGGAACGACAATCTGCTATGAGCATCTTGCTATAGAGAAATGGAACGCATGGGTCCATGGACGTATGCAGTGAATACAATGATAATAGTGAAAGTAATCGTAAGATATTATATTTAATTCTATAAAATGTTTTTATCTTTATTCTGTATAAAAGTGACTAAATATAATTTTATTTTTATCTCTGCAGGAATTCATTCAACCAGTTTTGCTCGCATCCACAATAATTCTATCGAATTACGTTCAGAAAAATGGTTTTAAGAAATAGGATTAATACGTCAATAGTTCTAGCTATAAAACCAAAAAAATTGCCCGAAAACGGTATATATTAACACGTACAGGTGATATTCTGGTCGATTCGCAAGAGTTCTGATTATTTTATTACAGTTTCAATGTAGTTATCAATTCTTACACCGTTAGAGCGTTTTCTAAAGATTTCTGCCGATAAACGTTGCTGGTAATACTTACAGATGATATGCTGTCCGATTCTGATTATTTTATTACATTAATGAATTTCGCTCGTTTTTTGCAATGCAAATTAAATAATTAAACTGTTTAAATCGAGCTAAATGGATTTAAGGTAGTTAGACCCTAAAGCACAATTATGTAAGAATGTCTTGAAACTTTCGTTTCAAGTAATTTAGGTATTAATACATATGCCTGTAAAATTTGAGCTCGATTTACCATCCCGTTCCTGAGATATAATCCATCAAACTTCGCCAATTTTTCTATATTTACCATTGCAGTATAGCCATTTTCGTCGTGATATGACACGGATTTTCATATATTATCGAAACCGCATGTAAGAAGTTAATGAAAAACGAGTATCAAGTAGTTGAATTTATGAAGAAGCGTGTGTAACAGACCGCAAATATTCACCATATCATACTAAAGTTTGAATCAATAAAAAATTTTGATTTTATACATTCTCTCGAGAACTGACGAAGTCTAGTAGATATGGCAACGTCGCACTTTCAATGACATGTCAATCAATCGAACTTGTAATTTTTATATTATGAAATTGAAGAACAATAATTATTATATTAAATCCACTTAGTTCGATTTAGACCATTCAATTATTTAATTTGCATTGCAAGAAACGAGCAAAATTTATTAATGTAATAAAATAATCGATTCGGCCAGCATATCATCTGTAGATTTTAATATACACCGTTTTCGATCTATAAAAATTGCTTACAAAATTTCAAGCAATGTTTATCGCCAGAACTCTTTAGAAAACGCTCCAACGGTGTGAGAACTACATTGAAACTGTAATGAAATAATCAGCTCTTGCGAATTGACCAGCATATCACCTGTACGTGTTAATATATGTATACCGTTTTCGGGTAATTTCTTTGGTTTTATAGCTAGAATTATTGACGTATTAAGTTTTAACTATAGAACTTTTTGGATCCTTGTTCTTTATACCTCATACATTCGAAATCCAGTAAGATGCTGGATGGGAAGTTAGCATCTCATTTTTTATAACCATTTTTCTGGACATAATTCGATAGAACTATCGTGGATGCGAGCAGAACTTGTTGAATGAATTCCTGCAGAGTTAAAAATAAAATTATATTTAGTCACTTTTATAAAGATTAAAGATAGAAACATTTTATAGAATTAAATACCTTATGGTAACTTTCACTGTTATCATTGCATTCATTGCATATGTCCATGGACATGCGTTCCATTTCTCTACAGCAAGATGCTTCGTCTGGCAAATCTAATTCTGGATTCGGTGGTATTTTCTAGTAACATATAAATAAATGCTTTATCGAATTAATCTATAGTATACTCATAACATTGTTATAAATGACAGCTTGCCGTTCCTCTGAGAAAGAACTTGATCCCAAGCATTAAAGTTTTCCTTTTACCATTTGCACGACTGTAAAAAAAGAAGGAAAAGAAATTTTATTTTATGAGTACAAAATGCATTATCTAACTTGTTCTTATTATGGATCTAACTTATTCTTTTATACTTATCCTAATTTTATGGTATCCATTTGGAATCTTAAACTTTCGTTGTTTACAAATGCACTTCTTCACTATGTTTTGGTTCTGTCATCACATTGACAGCTACCCTAATCGCTACGCAAGCAGTTGCTCGCATTCTGACAATTTTGCTGCGTTCCAAAAATCATTTATAAAAAGCGTTGCAACCTTTTAGGCCCCGACTATCTATGAAATTTTATGTAATTTGTTTAATTTAATGTAAATGTAATAAATTTTAAAAATATATGTACATATTTATTCCTGTAATCTAAAAATATTAATAAATTTTATTAAATGAACCTGTTATTTGAAATGTTATTTTTTGCTTTATTTTTGCTGTATTTTTGCGATTACATGTTTATGACGACACGCTATACACGATCTTTGCTGTGTTTTTGCCATCAATACCTGATAAGACAGATCGTATTCTATATATATTTGTCGCGTTTTTGCAGTCACAACAGCAGGCTATGCTCAATTTTTGCTACGTGCGATTTTTGCCATTATATGTAGTATGTAGCATAAATTTGCAATGCGTGCTTTTGGTAGGTTTGGCTATCTGGGTACTAATTTTATCTCTCATCAGTTGTCTCGATATAGCTAACTTGTATATAAAATAAACCTCTTTTGATCTGGAGACACGGTAGTGTCTCAGCGCTAAAACATTAAGTGTGAGACACTGCCGTGCCTCCTTTGCTGAACCGGATAGTTACGGTTTCCTACCTCGTCCTCTCCAGAAACTGGTGATTCGTCTGGAGACCTTTCCCTTTCCACTTCAAGGGTTTTTTTATCCTGAAAAAGAACAACTTCTTTTATATCACGTAAACAAATATAGTTCAATTTTCTTAAAAAGAAAAAGGAACGTCTAATTTATTGACAAAGGAAATGCTAAAAATGTTTATTAAGTTTTTCAACGACAATTTTTTTGGTGATCTTCGAGGTAAAAAAAATATACGTGTCGCGGCGTCAACATGCAGCTTTGTTCTCAAGTAATATACTTTTAAAAATTCATAAAATTTAATAATCGCTTTCTCCGAATCGGATTTGCACTCAAGGTTTGGTCATTTTTTTTTTCTTAAAAATGTTACTAAATGATTAAAAAGTTTTGAATACAAAAACTATTTAGTTAATGATACGTGCGTTCCAAAACAACGGAGATTCAAAACGTTGTAATTATTACAAAAAAAAATATTTATAAAGAAAAACAAGTTTAAATCGAGCGAGATAATAAGATTTTTTTTATAAAATATGTTAATACGACATAAAAATAAAAAATATATTAAAAAATAATAAATAAATATAAATATAATAATAATTAAATAAATATAATAATATCGAACGTTTCGAAACTCACTTGATTGTAACACTTGCGCTTAACAGAATGAGACGAATATGTAAAGATACTCCTGTTTTCACACATTTTATTACACAATTTCCACATTCACACAAAAACAGGAGAATCAATTTTTTTCGAAATAATTTGTACCGTGTCGTTTAGATTATGCTTTCATCTCTATAACTTGTAACATCTTTAAGAATCGTTGAAGAACCCGTGAGTTCTGAAACGTTCGATATTAGTGTATATTTATTAATTATTTTTTTAATATCCTTTATATTTTTTATTTTTATGTTGTACTAACATGTTTTATAAAAAAATCTTATTACCGCTTTTGTTAGCACTTTGCGTTGTACGACACCTGAACGTGTTAAGTTAAGACGGATTCATTGATTTTAAATGTTTATAATTCAAAAATTATAACCCCTCCATTAAAATTGCTGTAACTCCTTGATTTTGATTTTAGAAATTTCATTTTAAAATATCTTAGGAATCTATCCTTAAGCGTTGTTAAATTTTTATAGGATACCTTGAATATTTTTTTTGTAAAATAAATATAATTATTATTACTAATAATTATGAAATAATATAAAAGCAGAGAATTTCTAACCATAATTATTTTATCATACAATTATAATCATAAATACCAAACACTTTTCTGTCAAGTGTAAAAAAAGTGTTGCCCGATAAAAAGATATTTGCTCTCTTCTAGAAATGAGAACATTATTTTTCGCACAAATAAAAAGATTTTGTTCTCGATCTAACGACGTGAAAAGTTTCACAAATACCGGAAGTGCAATAATTAAAACAACTTTATAATATTGCATCAATTTTTGTCTAGTATGACATGTTACTTCTAGCATTACCGGTTAGCATTAAAATTGGAGAAAAGTAGATCGTTATACTCACAAGATAAAGGTATGGGAGCAACTACAAAATGATCAGCTGCTGCTGATTCCTGCCAGTTTCCTCTCGAATCTGGCGTAAGACGATACAGTAAAAGGTTCTCAAGTGCAGTGTGTTATTCGAATATTTCGGGTGCTCGACAATGCTCCCATCTTTTCTTGTGCCTATGCTCTGTCATTTGTATATTGTTCGAAGAGGTAAATTACTACCAGTGCAATATTTGTTTGATATTTTTACTAATTTTCGCGTGTACCAGTTATTTTCTTGAAATGGATTGTAATGTAAATTAAATATGCATTATTAATATTTTAATACTGTACTCAATAATTTATATTTGATTATTTATAAATAAATACTAATATTTTATCTTTAATTTAGGAAGACTACACATATTAGTATATAAATTCACGCGAAATTATATATAAGCAACTATAAGATCCAAGCTAGACTGTTATAGACTTTGTATTCGTATTATTAATATTTTATTTTCGAGGGAGTAATCACTTAATATAATCATGGGTGTTTTTAAAATTCAAATAAAATCCTCGTGTATAATCGATAATTACACATTTATGTAATTATAAGAAATCATTGTCTAATATTAAATAAAATCGTTTATTTTACCAAATGAATACAAAAATTATTTATAGTATAAGATTAAGAATCGTATAAAATCAAATGAAATCATGTAATTTATGGAACAATATTTTAGTTAGTGGTTATCCCCTCGAATATCTTGTTATATATAATTATATACTTTTTTATATAAATATCTTCTGCATAAATATAAATATGCTTTTATATATAATTACCAAAACCGTGCAATTAAATTCATAATCAGAAGAAGATACGAGTGAAAGTCAGATGTAAAAAACAGTGTTTATGTATATACATATTTAACGTAAAAATATTCTTCAAACATCACATCGAATCAAAACTAGATCATACGGTTATTCACATGAATTTTCCATTTGCGCGGCGCGTACGATCATGTTAAATGCTATTCTATTTAATTAATTACAGGCAACCATACACGTGTCGACATGATTTATACGTAACAATGTTAAATAATAAAAGAATACAACTGGATTTCTGTAGCAATTAGCGATGATGAATGATTTGTTAAACAAGAAATAAATTTGGCAAATATGCCAGCTTGTATATTCATTTTCGTAAAATTTGTTTTCACATTTATTTCTATAAAATGTTTGACGCGTAGACGAGAATAAATCGACTACGTTGAATATTTTATAACGATATTTACTGACGGTAAACTGGTGCGCACTCAGAGCATTTTTAAAGTCAAGGTATATATATCGATGTAAAGATGTTTAACATTGTATGTTTAACGACAATATAGAAACTAATTAAACTGTAAAATTCTCATTACATTTCATTGTCCTATTTGATAAAATATACATTGGGTCTTTTTTGTCAATTGAGATATCGTACTTTTACATTCAGACTAAAGTAGTGTAGTTCTGCCAGTGAAAAATGCTATTAGACTTTGAATTTTGCTTTTGTCCGCGTTCTATCAGTTGTGTGATCACAAATCTTGGTCAGATATTTTAATTGTAAATAGCCGGCGTGACTATATTTGGCATGGTGTGCGTCGTTTCTCATGGTTCTCATCCAACCGGAACGTACAAGATCGCTCGAGAAATGTAATATAATTTGAAATCAGGTAATCAGGACGCGTAACGCATTCTGTGCGGAAAATACATTTACGCGTTTAGCTATACGCTACGATAAATTTCTGATACGACGGCACGCCACGTGGCATGCTTTCTTGAGATAACTCGAGCTTTCCATAGCGGAATTAAAGTGCGAGCCCTTTTTTTATACTACCGCAAGTCGTCCGGTGTAACTAGTGCAAGAATCGAGGACGTACATGCGTTTGCTTTCACCTGGCTTAAAGTTAAAGGTCGTCGTGTTGACAACTGGATCCAGTGTAACACCTTAACCTTAATAGCAATTTAATGCAACGCATCACGAAATTTCATTTGTGTAAGAGCCTTAAATAATATTATAATTTATGAATTGCACGATATTTTGGAATGGTTCTTTCTTTCTTGCATTCGGCTGCTCATGTGTACTTAATTTCTTATTATGTGAACCGTTTTCTTTTGATTATACTCTTTACTTTTTCCGTTTGTATCTCATATCTTTCATTATTTATATCTTTATTTTATTTTATTTATATTTATCTTCTTTTTACAATTTTTTATTTATATTATTTTTAATTAGAAGTAGAAATTAGGCCAATATGAAAAAAATAAACAATACCAAATCTTATAGAAGATTATGAGAATTGAACCCAGCGTGAATGAGGTGGTGAGGGCGTGAAGATTTTGCTTATAATAATACTATATAGTAATAATACTATATATGGTATATATGATTCGTTATTATATATTACTTTTTCTCCGCACCATTCCATCCAGCTACTAATTGTAAAGCTGTCCAGACTATCGAGCCAAGCCGAGCCGCGAGCCGAGCTTCGAGCTGATGAGCTTCGAACCGAAATTATCGAGCTGAACTTTAAGTCGAAATTAAATCGAGCTTTGACCAAATTTTACGAGCGTCGTAAGCGATCCATATTGTAATTATCTGTTTTTAATTGTCTGTTGATTTTAATTATGTGTTTTATATAATTAAATATACGCGCATATACAATGGACAAGAATACATTAAAAATAGCTGCTGCAGCTATATTTATTGTAAAAAATTGTCTGGAGATATTAATAAATAAACAAAATAAAAAGAGGGCAATGTAAGAGTCAAATATAAATTATTATAAATATTGATAGATACCGTCTCAGCACGTAATGTATTTTGAATAGTCTTATTGGTTCAACTTTATACGCATTTCTGTTTATTAAATTGTGCATAAAACCAATGACGGTCGGCCTCAACCAATCGCCGCGGTCGTCGTCATTGAACCTGACGACGCGACGGTCACGTTATGTCGCGTGTCGTATGATCGATGGAGATTGTCGGTGCGCGATACCTTATCGAAGAATCTCTTATAATAGTTCCTCTCGTCGCGTAAAATGTTTTAACGCAAACATAGCTAAGTAGGAACATTGCTCGGTGTCAAAGACACGCAAAACACATATATTTATCTAAAAGGAGAATACGTAGATGAAAGTTGCTAAATGCGTGCCATTTAATCTTTTCTTTATTATACTTTTCATTTAACACTGTTTCATACGCAAATGAATATTGAAAATTATAACTTGTTTCGAGTGCTCTTATTATTACGTATGTTCACCTTTCAATAACAACAAATTCATTTATTATAAGTCTTCTTGTAACATGTTGCAAACGGTACGATTCAAATTGATATTACATTTGTCGTACTTTAAATATTTCAAACGTGTTAATTTGATGCAGGACAGAGACATCCATAAATTTTTTGTATAGTGAATATCGACGCTTGAAAAGTCATACGACAAAAAAACGGATAAACGTATTATAATATTAGCCTTAAGCAATCGGTCCAGTATATCGCATCTGTAGGTCTTTGAAATTGTTTTTTTTTTTAAGT